AAAAGAAGACCTAAATAAATGAGTAATATACCTTATTTATGGATAGAAAGGATTAATATCAAAACGATTTCCATTCCCCCCAATTAAATAATAAATGAAGTACAAATGAAAAATCCAACAGAGTTTTTCACAAGCAAGAGCCAAGATATTCCTGAAGAGAACAAAATAGGTCAGAGAGAAACCTTCCTTACTAGCTACTGAGTTTATTATAGGTTTAATTAAGATGTTGTGGACAAAAAAAAAAAAGACATGGTGACTTTGGCATACAGATGGACAAATGACCAATGGAGCAGATTACGAAGCCCAGAGATAAAACCATACGGAAATAGAAACTTGACATATGACAGAGGTGGCTTTACAATTAGTGGGAAAAGGATATATCTGTAATAAATAATTTTGGAGTAATTGGTTATCTATGTGGGAAAATCTTTTAAAATTAGATTCTATTCATACCTGTATAAGTAGATTAAAAAGCTGATGAACCTGGGTGGTTCATTCAGTTGAGTGTTCAAATCTTGGTTTCAGCTCAGGTCATGGTCTCAGGGTTGTAGGATCGAGACCTGCATTTTGATATCTGCTTGTGATTCTCTCCCTCTCCCCTTTCCACTCTCACCCAGATGTGTGACCATGCACATACACACACACTCTCTAACATAAATAAATAAATAAATAAATAAAATATTTAATAAAAACCTAATGTTATAAGCCAACATTTTAAAGTTTTTAGAAGAAAATTATAGGGAATGAGCTTATGACCACCAATCTGGGAAGAGTTTTTTATTTAGGATATAAAAAGCATAAACCACAACCAGAAGACTGATGTATTTGACTACAATAACACACACACACAAAAACAAATCTTTCCTTCAACCAAAACAAAAAGGCAAGCTACAGACTGGGAGATGTGGGCAACACATTTAAACTTGAGAACAGTGAGTGCTTAGGACGCATTTTAAAATATAAGTTGATATGAGATGCCTGGGTGGCTCAGGTAATGATCTCAGGGTCATGGGATGAAACTTCATGTTGGGCTCTGTGTTCAGGAGGGAGTCTGCTTCCCCCGCCTGCCACTGCTCTTCCCTTGACCATGCTCTGTCTTTCTCTCAAATAAATAAGTAAAATATTTAAAAAATAAAATATAAATTGATGTAAAACAACCCAACTGAAAATGGATAAAGAACATGAACAGGTATTTCACAGGAAAGGAAAGCTGTAAGGCCATAAACTTATGAAAGGATACTCAACCCCACTAGAAATCAGGAAATGCAAATTACAATAACATTTCACTTCCATCTGATTGGCAAACATTTTTAAAGTCTGACAATACCAAATGTTTGTAAGGTGCAGAGAAATAGGAATTTTCCTACATTATTGGTCAGAATGTAAATTGGTACAACCACTTTGGAAAGCAATTTGATAATATCCATCATTTCCATTCCCAGGAATATACCCTAAAGAATCTTGCTCACAGGAGATATGTGAAAGATTGCTTACTTCAGAATTTTGTGTAATAGGAAAATTGGAAATAACCAAAACTCTCCCAACAGGAGCATACAAAAGTAATCGCCAAGTACTCATACAATGGAATTCTTTATGCAGCAGTTAGATAAATGAACAAAACTGCATGTACCAAATGGACAAATCTCAAAAAGTGTTGAGTGAAAAAAAAGGTAAGGTGGCAGAAGGATACATACACTATGATACAATACAATACAATATGATACAATACAATACTAAATAGTATTATATGTAGTTTACGGTAATATGTGTAAGTAAAGGTATAAAAATAGTCATGGCGATGGTATGTACCTATTTCGGTATAGTGGACGCCTCTGACAAGAGAAGAAAGGGAAAAAAGTTAGGAAGGAACATATTCCACCAAAATATTCAGCCATGTCTGTAATATTTTGTTTAAAAAATAAACCCTGGGGGTGCCTGGGTGACTCAGTGGGTTAAGCCTCTGCCTTCAGCTCTGGTCATGATCTCAGGATCCTGGAATCGAGCCCCACATCAGGCTCTCTGCTCAGTAGGAAGCCTGCTTCCCCCCTCTCTCTCTGCCTGCCTCTATGCCTACTTGGGATCTCTCTCTGTCAAAAACAACAACAACAACAACAACAACAACCAGACTTAAAATAAATAAATAAATAAATAAATAAATAAATAAAAATTAAAAATAAACCCTAAAGTAAACATGGCAGAATTATGTTTATTATATTATTTGTTATTTCTCATATGTTTGAAATGTTTTATTTAAAAAGTGAGTAACTTCAAAGTAAAATCGGGAAATATGTTAATGATTGATAAAATCCTAATAAAAATACATTTCAATAAAATGTAATCATTAGAACTATCAAAATTCTCATTGTAAAATATAGACATTTCAGTTTTAAGTATATGTCCATATTATAAATAAATATGAGTTATCTAGACATAAACTGCAAATTACCCTGATCATGGGGTTTAAAACATAAAATCTAAATATACACACACATGGGTAAAGATTGAAAAGCAGCACTAAAAATAAAATAAACATAAACTTTTAAGCTAGAAGGGTTTGGGGTGAAATTTCTTTAATTTTTAAAATCTGACTTTGTAAAGGAAATGTTGCTAAAATAAGTGTATTATGTACTTTCTGAAAAGTTTTTTCCATAGAAATAATATAGCTGCAGAGATTTAAACAACAGTTCTCTAGAAACGTACAGTACAAAGTAGTCAGGTCCTTTCAGGCCTTCTTCTAAATTCTCTTCTTTCTGTTAAATTATCAGGTTAAACAAACAGGAACACAACAAAATGATGTGGGTCAAATCACTATCGCCACCCAATTTTTCAAGGGTGACGGCAACTCAAGAATTTACCTGGGAGTGGTGATACTTTGCTATGCCTTTAATTAAGGTGGGCCTTTTAAAACTCAACTGTTCTATTCGTGTCTCAAATCAATCAGATGAAATTCACCTTTTACGTGGCCTGAATCCTGATAGCTCGGCACACTTGATAGGTAATTTAATCATCTCTGGTGTAGATGAACGCAAACTCAAATTAGCTAGTGAAAGAGCTGGTCTTCTCTGAGATAGCTGTGCTTTTCCACTTTTATGCAAGAGCTGAGCTTCACCAACTGGCTAGCTGGAGGTGTTATTAAAAATTTAGTGAAAGAAACAAAGGTGTGCTCTGGTGTCTCTTGTTACCCTTTCTACTGTTACTCCGGCAGACAAAAGGCATAGAGCCTGCCTCATGAATAATGTGACACGGAATATTCACGATCTATTTTTAATGGAGTCAGGTAATAACATTAAAAGAGATATTTGCAATCTTCAAATTTCACACGGTAACAGTCACAGTAATTTGTTTTGATTCTGAACTGAGGATATCAGGATGTGGTTTTTTTTCCCCTAAAAAGGCATACTGTTAACATCAAAATTACAACTTCTCATTATAGCATAAACAAGGATTATGAAAATGGCCCAGAAGTTCTATGTCATAAGAGAAGGATAGGACAGATAACTAGATTTCAATCAGTCTACTTACCTCTCGATGCAAGTTCTCTACTTTTCAAACCAGGTCGGAAATAATCAACTAGTGTGCACAGTGAATTCTGTGGGAAGGATGTTTTGTGATCTTTATTCATTGGGAATTTTGTTTTCCAGGACACTAGGAAGAGGTTCATGGATGCTGTACTGGTTCACCCATCAGTTCTGGAAAATTATCTTAAACTGCATTATAAACAAATTTAAATTTTGAATGACAGTAAACTGACATGAAAAGACATGGTGTTGAAAACCAGGTGAACACAACCAAGGACTGAGATTTGAAGAGAATGGAGAAAAGCAGTGTCAAAGCCCCCTTACCCACCAGCTCAAGCGAGTCCTATGTTCATTTGGTTTCCTAAAGTCTCAAGCAATTTCTCTTCCGATTGTGCTCTAGAAAGCAGACATGGGTAAAGACTTGACTGTCAAGATGAAGCAGGATTTTATTTTCTTTGCTTATTTACCCATTATCTCAGCAAATGCCTGCTGATCTCCTATTGTGTGCCAGGCACTGTTCTGGGAGCTAAAGATTCAGCAGTGACCCAATAAATGAACCTCTACAGGACACGGTGCTCACTGCTGTGTCCCCACCACCTAGAACAGTGCCAGGCACATGTTAGGTACTTAGTTAATATGTGTGAAGTTGATTTGAATTGAAATGGACAGTCTACTCATGGTCACCATTGAGCCATGCATAGCTTGGCTGGGAGACATTAGAATGAGCACAGGTAGTCGGCATATAGGACAGGACCTTATTCCTTTATTCTGGTTTCATTCTCATAAAGAACTGATTCATGCAAGAAACTCCCACAGGTGGGATAGAGCCAGAAAAAACCCAAATTCCAATTTTACTGCTCCTGATGGGTCTTTAGATTGAGACTTGCCTTAGGTGAGGCAACTAACCAGTATCACATACTTTCTCTCCCTTTCAGTCTTGACAGAATCAAATAGAGTTGGATTGGAATGACAGAATCATATCCACATTTTACAGTCAAGGAAATTGGAAGCAGGGAGGCCAAAGAAGGTACCTAAGTCACACAACATATTGGTGACAGAGCTTTGACTACCACTCAATTTCTGGACCTAAGTAAGACCTGTGATTTCTTTGTCTGGAGCGGTCTGGCCCATAAAAAAAAAAAAAAAAAAAAACCCCAAACCCACCCACCAACCAACCAACCAACAAAAGCAGCCCTAAGTCCTCAGAAGCACCTGTGTTCATGTGGACCCACTAGTGACTTTATACGGCAGGAGCTTAGTTTTGTATACCTAGTTTTTCTGTTGAGAAAGAAAGGATCTTAGAGGTATAGAAAGAGAAAGCAAATGAAAATCAGAGCAATTGGATTTTACTCTCTTCTGGATATTGGCTTGTCTGCTTTGCTTTTAATACCCCACTGTGGTTTCTTTCAGTGCCAACTCCTGCCACAGACTAAAACAAAGGTCTTTCCCAAATTCCCTGCCTAAAGGAAAAGCAATAGGTCGGAGTCTTAATACTTTATTAACTTAAAACGTCATTCTAATAAATACGTATTAACAAACATAATGAACTCCAGAAGATCTAAAAACATTTACAAACCTCATCGAAGTAAAAACACCACTTTTTTTCTTTATAGTACACATGAAGGGTCACTCCACATGCCTGCTAGCTTAGACATCTTAAAAATACCAGCTTAACAGTAAAAAACTGAATATACACACGCATCTTGGAAGTATCTCTTCAGCTATTTTGTTGTTGTTTATGTTTGATAAAATCCAAACATGTCAGAAAAGAAGAGTCAAGATTTTGTTTGGTCTTCTCTGAATTCCTTAGGAGGGAAAAAACAGATTCAGTCACTTGGGGGTTCAACTGTTAGCTTTTGAGGGCAGGGGCACAGCCGTAACTTTAATCTCTGGCTCCCCAATGCCTAACACAGGCCTGGGACCTGGTGGTCAGTAAACACCTGCTGGGTGAGGGGATGGGATCTTGTCCAGAGGTGGTGTTCTATCCTTCCGCCTCCAGTGATGGAGCCTTCACAAGCCTCCTGCAGAGAGGACTCTCCTCTCCTCTCCTCTCCTCTCACCAACAAGTCCATGTTTCTTCTGCTCCTGCCTGCAGCAGGCTGCCCAGGGTACTTTGTAATTTCAAAAGTATGAAGCTCCTTCCCCACATCATTTCCTGAACCAGTCTTCAAGTAGGAGAATTGATTCCTCCAAGATTGATAGGCAGCACCCAGTAGAAAGGGGTTAACAGACTCCCCAGAAAGAAAAAAAAAAAAAAACAACTCATTTTTCATTCTAGATAAAAGCATTAGCACGTGTCCACCTTGTAAATGATGACTTCTCCTCCACACAAGTATCTGGGGTGGGGCAAGAGGAGGGAAAAAACTCGAAGGACTTTCCTGTCTGTGGAGCAGGGCTGGGAATGGGAAGAACTGCAGGACCCGAGATTTTAGCTGATCCCCTCTTGACTTCGAGGCTTCAGGTGTCCGGGAGCCTATTCGACATGTCCAAAGCCCAGTCAGTCATTTGGTTCCCCCTCTGGGCTTAACTTTGAAAAGGTAATTTATCCCTTCTTGCAGTTTCCGGAAGTGAGGTGAAGGGGCTCACCCTGCTGGGAGCTCTGGACTGGACTGGAGGGTCCGAGAAGTCAGACGTGGACGGTGGCAAGTGGGGAGGCTGCCCTCCGTAGTGTTGTGTAACTGCTGCTTGCAGCCGGCCAGGGCCCTCATTTGAGCCCATGCTGGGTTTCCCGGTGCCGCCTGAGGTCCACCTTCCTCTGGAAGCCCTTCCCACACAGGTCACAGCCAAAGGGCTTGAAGCCTGTGTGCTTACGGCTGTGGGTGATGAGGTTGGAGCTCTGGCTGAACGCCTTCCCACACACCTGGCATTTGTGGGGCTTTTCACCTGCGAGGAATGGGGGGGGAGGGGAGTGTGAGTTTACGTGAAGCTGGAGGGGACTCACTGTGGCCCACATGCTCTTGGCAGCAGCTGGCTGCATCACAGTCTGAGACCTTCAAGCGACTTGGAGGGTGACGCGTGGCAACCAAGTCCTGGGAAGTCACGGGTGCACCAGGTGAAAGGGAGACTTTCTGAGTGTGGGCTCCCAGCAAAAGGCCTCAAACCGTTTCCTGCTAAACGGAAACAGCAAAGGCCACGTGCCCAGACTCACAGCTGAATCCACCCTGGCAAGACACCCCTGACTTTAGAAGCAGAGAGCACCCGCAGCAGATGTTCAATGTGGGGGTGGGGGCCATGTGACTCTGCTCTAATTCAGAGGAAGTTTTCAAATCTGTGTTTCCAAGTGGGTGTTGGTTTGTATGGACCAGTGAGCCTGCACTCTTTCTTGCTCTTGAAGGACAATAGAATGTATCTGAAGCATAGACATATTTCAAAGTCTTATTTTTAAAAATCCACATTTGGGTCACAAAGAATTTCTTAAATAGTGGATCCTTTCCAACTTGATTTTACTTTCTTTTTATAAGGATTCTTTATATCCTAGCAAGACTTCACCATAAATTAATAAGTAACAAAGAGAAAAAGTTTAGGGGGCACCTGGGTGGTTTGGTTGGTTGAGCCTCCAACTCTTGGTTTCAGTTCAGGTCATGATCTTAGGGTCATGAGATCAAGTCCCCTTTCTGGCTCTGTCCTCAGCAAAGAGTCTGCTTGAGATTCTTTCCCTCTTCCTCTTCCTACCTGCCCCCCACCCTCTCTCTCTTTCTCTCCCAAATAAATAAATAAAAATTCTTAAAAAAAAAAAAAAAGGAAAGTTTTTTTCTCCCCCCCCCCCCAATTCATGTGCTGTTTAATATTTGGGTAAATAGCATGAATTTCCAAAAAGCCTCAGCATGGCTTTACTGTCAGAGTTTGGTCTTAGAAAAGTGCACAAAATAGATGAGGTTTGTTTTTGAGGAAACTTCTGTCCCTCTTGCTGTGCCTCTTTCTGTCTTCATGCTTCTGATTTCTTTGATAAGGAACCACCCATCAAAACTTAGCTTATCCCTTTAGGATCAAACAAATCTGAGAAACCAATTCTAGCTATGAGGTAAATGTTTGATAAAAACTTAATGTTTCATTGAGTCATGATCCTAGTTGCATTTTGGTAAGGGTCTTGAACACTTTTACTTAAAAGGAGTGAGTTACAAGGAAATTTCAGGTAAGGGTCATGATTAAAGTAAGATATTTTTCTGGGTTTTCTAAAGGGATATCTACACTGCCCAAACATATTTATAAGCATCAAATTTAGGTGTTTGGAACACACTGAAATTTGTTTTGAATCCTATTCATATTCCGGAATAAAATAAAATTCTGGGTCTCTTGTACTTGTCTTATTTACTATTAAAGAGACTGCTCCTGGCATAAAAACTCCCACTGATATACAATCAAAATGTTAGAGAAAGATCCCAGGATTAGAATACAGAGCATTCCATGGCCCTAATATTTACTCTCAGTCTGATCTTTAGTAAATCATTTCATCATCATGGTTTCATCACCCTAAGGTTACTTACTGGGGTGGGAGTGAAGATCAAAAGAAGGGATGGGGTGCCTAGGTGGCTCAGTGAGTTAAGCGTCTGACTCAGGTCATGATCACAGGGTCCTGGGATCAAGCCACATGTTTGGCTCAGCAGGGAGTCGGCTTGTCCACCTCCCAACCCCACCATGCCCTTTGTCTCTCTCTCAAATAAATGACTAAAATCTTAAAAAGGGGAGGGATAGATTTTTTTAAAAGAAGGAATAGGTTTCAAAGCAGTTTGTAAATTATGAAGTATCATAATAGGTAAAGAATTACCATTATGGCATGAACTTGCTGATATTTCAAAAAAGGCAGTAAGTGAACAGAAGCTTTCTACATCTACCAACCCTAATGACTCTGAAAATAGAAAACAGTAAGTCTTCAAGATAATAGATATTAGAGGTTAGAAAGACCTGAATTTAAGTCCTGGCCCTGCCGCTTGCTGTCAGGGCCAGGGCCCTGGACAGGTTACCTGACCCTTCTGTGCCTCACTTTCCTCAGCTCTAGAATGGGGATAAGGAATAGTCCCTACCTCCCAGAGTTCTTGTGAGCATAAAATGAGATAATACATTTAAAAAATGCTTAGCAGACAGCTTAGTAATATTTACCCTGCTTTTTTCCTCCTCAATCAGAGTAAGCTCTTAGACTGCAAGAAATTCAGCCAGGAGACCACACATAATGCCTCCTGCTCCCCTAAAAGGCTGGGAGGGAGCCCTGGGGAAAGACCTCACTTTCTGGAGCTTAGTATTTCACCCAGAGCAGGCAGCAGTTGGAGCAGCAGCTAAACTAGAGGAAAATAGTCTTTGCAAAGATGGAGAACCTGAGGTTGACCAGCTGAGTGGTTCTTCAAATGCAGTCCCACACCAAGTCCCCTCTGGGGAGAACCTTGTATGTAAATGAATCTAAGAGAATCTGCTCCCTTGTTTTCTTGAACACAATGCAGTGATTAACTCCGTCTAGAAGGCCTCATCTACCATTCACTCTGTAGCCAGAGTATCACAGCAAAAGTGAATTATATTGGCGTCAGGGGGAAGAACAATGCTCTTCCATGCCAGCCTTCACCAGGTGTTTTCAGACAAGCCAAGGGCCTTCAGCTTACCAGTGTGGATGAAGGTGTGTTTTTTCATGTCTGACTTCTGGTGGAACCTCTTGCCACAGTACTGACAAGGGTAGGGTCGGGTGTCTGAGTGGATGAGCAAGTGTGTGGACAACGTAGATGACCTCTTGAAGCTCTTGCCACAGATCTTACAGTCAAAGCTGCGTTCCTGTGGGTAGAAAGATGTGGCATTCCTATTGTAGTCATGAAGGCTGCCATCTTCTTCACCACTACATCAACCACAAAATCCCCCAAACCAGGGCTCTCCCTTTCTTCGGGCTCCCCTTTCACTTAGCCCGCCCCATCTTCCCTCTCCCCAGATTTATTTCCAGCCTTTGCTCTCCCCACCCCAGCCTCTTCCCCTTTAACACTTTTTCTACCCAAACACTTTTCACCCACAACCCTCCACACCGCACAGCAAAAAAGTATCCCCACCCTGCTTTTTTGACACCCATTTACAAACACTTCTCCACCCTCCTCAACAGGGGGTTTAGATCTCAGTCACTTGAGACCACCACCCCCTCCAGCTCCTGTTGAGATGGAAAAATAGTACTCTTTTTAGTAAATAAATCTCTGTAAGTAAGCATTTGCTTGTCATAGTTACTTGTGTACTTAATTGCTTATCTACCCTCTGTCACTCAACTAAACTGAAAAATTCAGGAGTGGCACCCTGTCAGGGACGCGGTGTGTTATAGGAGCCTAGCAGCTGGAAGTTGCACAACAAATACTAATCAAGGACTGCATGAAGTAATGGCAGGACAGATATGCTACTGGACGCTCTAAATGAGCGAACATGCCTTCTTTTCAGTTGGGAGGGGTCAATAAAGATTAAGTGACAGCCATTTAGTGAAAAGACTCGAGACAAAAAAATCCAGAGCTGGGGCGCCTGGATGGCTCAGTGGGTTAAGCATCTCCCTTGGGCTCAGGAGATGATATCTCGGTCCTAAGATCGAGTCCCCCATAGGGCTCTCTGCTCGGGGGAGCCTGCTTCCTCCTCTCTCTCTCTGCCTGCCTCTCTGCCTACCGAGCACTTCGCGGTCCCACAGAGAAAAGCGCGCCAAGCTGTCTGTGCTGCAGAAATGTTCTGAGCTGAGCTAAGCGGGAGAAGGTGGCCACCGTTGTGATCTCTCTCTCTGTCAAATAAATAAATAAATAAGATCTTAAACACACACACACACACACACACACACACACACACACACACAAACCCAGAGCTAATAAATCTGATATATCCGCAGCAAGAGGGCTTAGAAACCCTCCTCAAACCCAGAGTAGAGATCTGGATCACCCTCTGGAGGCTTAACAATGATGCAACACCAAACTCCAGGGCTGCCTCGAAGGCGGATCCGGCCACCTTTCCTTACACACCTACCTCTGGGCAAAGGGACATGGTGGAGGAGACTGGGGGCAGTCCGGGGAAACCCAACGGAAAAGCTGCCAGGAGAGTGGCCGGTGCTGCACAGACAAGCAGAACACCCCCGAATGCGAAAACCTGAACACGGTCGCGCGCGGCCATGCGCGCCGCGCTTACCTGCGAGTGCACGGCTTTATGCTGCTCCAGGCTCACCGCGTGCCCGAAGGTCTTGCCGCACATCTCGCATGCAAAGGGTCTCGTGCCGCTGTGGGACCTGCGCACGTGCACCTCGAGCCCGTGCGGCGTGGAGAACACCTGAGGCGGGTGGGGCCGGGGAGAAGGCCGCTGAGAGGGGCCAAGGGGCGCGGGCCGGGGGCGCGGGCGCGGAGCCGACAAAGCCAGGCGCGCGAGAGCCTCACCTTGCTGCACTTGATGCACTTGTAGGAGCCGCCGCCCAGCAGCAGGCGGGTGCACAGCAGTTCCGACTCCACCTTGACGCCAGCGCCCTTGTCCGCGTGCAGCCCGTGGCCGCGCTCTGAGTACAGCCCTCCTGCCGCCGCCGCCGGCCGCTCGTACAGCCCTGCCGCCGCGGGCCCGAAGTCGCCGTACAGCCCCAGGCCCGCGCCGCCCGCAGCGCCGCCTCTTGCGCTGCCTGCCCCAGGCGCCCCGGCCCCCGCGCCGCCCGCAGCCCGCTCGGGGCCGTAGAGCGCCGCCGGGTGGCCTGGCTCCGGGGCGCGCTCGCAGAAGAGGCCCAGGCCGGCGCCGCGCTCTAGGGCGGCGCACGGCCGGTAGCTGTGCACCAGGTGCCGCAGGTCAGAACCCGCCAGACCGCTCCAGGAGTACGGCTTAAAGGGCAGGGGGAAGGGCTGGGCTTCGTCCAGCGACGGGCACGCCGACTTCTCCGAGGCTGTGGAGGCACAAGGGGGCGTCGGGTTAGTCTTCAGACGGCGGGGCGGAGGCCGCTCGGTGGCGTCTGCCAGTCGCCGGGCACTGGGCGGAGTACTCGGTGCGCCCGGCGCCGCACTAGGTGCCATAACGCCCCCAGGATAAAACGCGCACCGGGCTCTGGGGCCTCGAGGATCACTGGAGGCGGCAGGGCGGCAAACGGATAATTAAAATGACATCGGTCGAGGAGGTGGGTAAATTCGGCGCCAGGGGAGCGGAAGTGTTAGGACGGTCTTTTCTGGCGGGACCCAAGCACTTCGCTGTCCCACAGAGAAAAGCGCGCCAAGCTGTCTGTGCTGCAGAAATGTTCTGAGCTGAGCTAAGCGGGAGAAGGTGGCCACCGTTAGCGTCTGGACAGTGCTCCTACGCAGAGGACTCAGCGTCCAGCACCAACACTCTCCCGGGCCCTACAGGTTCCCACTCCGTCTTTTACTTTCCCGGGTAGATAAGAAGGGAAGGAGAGGACCAGTAAAATACGGCCTGGCCTAGCGAAGACATCTGTTTGAAAAACAAAAAACAAAACGAGAAGGTGTTAACATTCTTAACAGTTATTAAATAGCCAGTGCAGGTAGCAAACAGGCAGAGGGAAGAGGGTTTGGAGCTTGAACTTCCTGCCAAATACTCCTATTCTCATTACTGTCATAGTTATATGGGGGACCCCAAATTTCTCAGAGAATAATAACAATTTACAATTATGGTTTAGCCACCACCTGCCGGGGACATAGCTTTCCCATATTCGTGGCTTCTGCACGCCCTGCCCAGCGTGAATTTTTATAAAACCAAATACCCAAGCTATGCTTTCTGCATTTTGCATACGGATTTACAAATCTGTTTCCACCGCACACTCCAGGCTAGCGGTTAGTGTAACAGGCTGCACCCCAGGTTTCTGTCGGAGAGATTCTGGTGGCATCCAGTCTTGCAGGCCTTGTCCTGAACAGCCAACTAGAATCCTCCAGTCTCAGGCTCCCAGACACACTCCCTGGAGTTACGGCTTTAGCCAAGTCAATGTACTGAGTGTGGGATGGGGTTGGGGTTATCTTTTAAAACTAGTAAATGCAATCTGGAAATAACAGGCACTTGGCAGAATCTGTCTGGTTTGCGTTCTCTTTCCCTGGCCAGAACCCAAGACTTGCTCCCACCCAACGTTTGCTCAAACCTCAGCTGCTGTCTAGAAATTAAGTCAATGGCCTGGTCCCCAAGGCTGGGCCAACCCGGCAGAACGAAAACTGAAACGGGCCCCCAATCCGCACATAGGAAGACTCAGAGAAGGGCAGAGATTTTCGTCCCGACCTGTCCTTCCCGCTTGGCGCCCAGCTCCACCAGGCCCGATGCTGCGGGAGCCAGAAGAAGTTTTAAAGACTGCCCAGTTCTCCGTTTGAGACTCAGGGATCTGGGTTTTGGGATTCCAGCTCTTTCTAAACAGTCAACTGATGAGAAAACGAAATGTCGAGGTTGCTGCCGGTCAAGACGACTTATTTATTTTCTCTCCCCAACGGTCTCCGTCGAACGAATGTTAGGAATGAACAACCCGGGTCCAGCCGCCGCGGATCCAAGCAGCAAATAGTCCCAGAGAAGCCAGATGCCTCCCCCACAGGCCCTTTACCCCATGAACAAGCTCTCTCCGCTCGGAAAGACTCTCCGCCACCCATTTAACATTTCTCCACCCACAGCCTCCTCAGTTTATTCCCTGCTGCCCTGGCCCCAGAGCTCCCAACAGGTTCCTACCTGGAGACACAGAAGGCGATGGAGGCCTCCAGAAATCCTCAAACTCTGAGCTCCGGTCGCAGACGCTGCCCTCACAGCTGCCGGGGGATACGGAGGATCTCTCTGGGGCCTCAGTCAACTGTGACTCGGGGGACAGACGACCCCGGGGCTCCGTCTTCGCCCCGCCTGCGCTCGAGGTGCTGCCTGCGGAGAAGAGGGAAGATAGGAGCTCAGGCTGGGCCTGATTGGGCCCGGTGGTTCTCAAGTGGCCCCCCCCAGACCGTGGCACCCCAGCGTCCTCCTCTTTTCCCAGACCTGGCGGGAGCAAAGAGGCCCTAGCATCTCGGCGACAATCCCGGAAGGCACGCGGACAGTAGAAAACGAAAAGGCAGCAAAGGGGGTGTCAGGGTCTCCCTGCCGGGTTCCTGGGTGATGGTGTGGCGGGGCTCAGAATCTATATCCCTTGGGGGCTCCGTCTGGCCCTCACACTCCGTACCTGCTCCGCCTGGCGCCAGGACATTCTCCAGGAGGAGGGAATAGTCGGGTCCCGGGGAGCGCGGCTGGTGGTAACTGTGAGCCTTCTTGCTCTTGACGAGGAACGAACGCGGCATGGTGGTCGGGCGCGCTCTCCACTCCGCTCCCTGAAGCGGCAGTCAGCCCACTGTTACCCTGAGTGCTTGTTCAGCCCCAGTTCTCCGCAGACCTGCGAGAGGAGAAGAACCGGATGGAAACTCGGGTCCGCACGCCCCGGGGCCCGGGACTGGGCAGCCGGGTGGAGAGAGAGCTCCGGCCGGGAGGAGGGAGGAAGGCCCGCGGGAGGAGGGGCTTGGCCCCGCTGCGCCGCGCTCACCAGGTGGCACTCGGACAGGTGGCGCGAGCCCGCCGCCGCCGCCACAGCTGAGCGGTAAAACCCGTCCCGGGGCCCAGGCTCAGGCCTCTTCCTTCTGCCCTGCCCACACCCCTTTGGCCCCTCCCCTTCCCTAGCAAAACTCGCTCTCACAATCAAAGTCACCGGAGAGCCGATGTCCCCAACTGTCCAGTTACCCTAAACTCGATCACTCACTGCCTGCCTGGCCCTGTTTTCGGCCTGGGGAGGAGGGCAGGGACGCGCTGATCAATTTAGGGCTGGGAGATGTGTTCCTGGTGGAGGACCGAGAAGGGGCTAGGAGGCCAAGCCCTCCAAGAGCCCGCTAGAAACTGGAGGGGGGTGGGATGGGAGGAGCGCACTAGGCCGGCTGAGGAGCAGGGTCGGGTGACAGCAGCAGAGGGGCTGAGGGCAGCAGAGGCTGAAGAAAGAAGCCAGGAGAGAAAAGGAACAGGAAGGTGGTGGGAGGGGGTATGACTGAGGACCGACCCCGGCCCCCGGTGGAGCTCGCATCCCGGTGATCTCCCTCCCTCTTCGCTCGTGCCTTACGCGAGGAAAATGTTGGTTTGGAGACACAAGTGCGGCGGAGGCAGGCAAAGTCTGGGGCAAGACATTCCAGACCATGGAGACCTAACCTCGGAAAACCAAGTCCTAGGAAAATGCACTTTTCGTTCTGCTCACCGAAAACCTTCTTTGGGGGAAGTCGAGCCCTATTCGCGCGCGCCGGCTCTGAACGGCGCGGGGTCTGGAGTCGGAGGAAAACCAACAGTTTAGCGGACCGGGAGAGCGCAGGGTGTTCCGCCGCGGCCAGAGCGCGGGGGTCCAGGCGGGGGCCTGAGAGGGAGCTAGCAGCCTGCGGCGCCGCTCTCATTAACCCCCAATCAGTTCACCTAATCCCGGGGTCGAAACCTGAGCCGGGCGGTTAGGCGGGGCAGCGCCTCCAGCTCAGCGCGGGGCTGCTGGGGGCGGAACCAGACCGGCTCCTAGGTCTGGGGAAAACGAATTTGCCTTCCTCTCGATGGAGGCCGGGTTCACATGGGAGCGCAGGCTCTTCGGGCACAGCGGCTGTCCATGGTCTTGTCTAGTTCAGAAACAAGGGTGCTGGGGTCGCAGCAAGACCCCTCGTCCTTGGCCTTCGCGAGGTTTAGGCTGCCAGATTAGGAGCAGCGCGGCTCTCAGGGCAGGATGCAGGACCTAAGTCTGCCGGTTGGCGCTCCGAGTTCAAAACGAGTTCTCAGGGACTGGTTCCCTAGAGGGCATTCCACGTCCCACTGTGGTGGGGTGCCACCTGTCCCCGTCTGAGTCCGCCCCTAAGGTCAAGGCTTGGAGGTGCTGGGGCTGCCCCAGGACGCCGTTCTACCACCACAGTTTCCCCTGGGCCTCTGCGTGAGCTGCCACTTCGGCCGTATAATTAGACACCACAAATGCAAAAACGAATTCCTTAGACAGCAGTGAAACTCAGCGGTAAAGGAAAATGGGGTGAAACCGTCTCGAGGGCCCTGCTGAGGTGTGGGTCTGCGTCGGCGCGAAGTCGGGCGGAGGGGGGGGGGACGGAGGAGGAACTGTCCCCTCGGGCGCTGAGCCTGTGCTGCCTGGGACCGCGCAGGATCAGGCGGGCACAGAGGCGTCCTCTCCACCCAGGCCTAGCCCCGCGCCCCTCTCTCCTGCTGGCTGGCCAGACCCGATCCTGGGAGAGCGGAATGGATTGGGGGTGGTAGGGACGAGGGCTGAGCGCGTGGGAAGGCTACTTCGCGCAGCAGCTGGCGGAGGGAGGGCGGGGCGGCCCCGGGGCGCACGCGGGCCGAGGCCTCTCTTCACAGTTCGGGCCCGGGAAGGCGGGAGTGGAGGCGCCGAGGGACAGCCTCCCGAGCCCAGCTGCCACCGCCTCCCCACCAGATGTTTCCTTCCCGGATGAATCCTGCTCCCCTGCGCCAAAATCCCTGGCGGATAGGGTTCTCGGGGCTCCCGCACAGTGGCCAGCAGCGGGGGGCAGGGAACCGGCAGCGCCCTCTTGTTGCCCCCGCAGTGGCGGTGCCGGGTTAGTCCCCGCGGCCGCCCCCAGCAGGGGGGCAGGCGCAGAACAGGCGCAGCGGACCTACCTGCGGGGTCAGGGCGCGGGCACTGCGCTCCGAGAGTTTTCAAACTGAGTTGCTTTCGGGAGAGACTGCGCTCTTTTTTTTTTTTTTTTTTTTTTTTAATCTCCTTCCGAGCTCAGCCCCCAAAACCACAAGCTTCACTTCCTGAGCGTTAAGGAGTAGCTCTCTTAGACCTCTCAGACCTGCCCCCCCCAACCCCCAGTCTGGGCGCGCTCCTTTGCGCAAGGGGCTAGGAGGCGGACAGGGGGCCCGGCCTTTTCAGCCGGTCTCCCAGGAGGTCCTCCGCGTTTTTGCTCTGTGGGACTGCGGGGGATGGGGAGACCCGGGGCACTAGAAATGGCTCAAAAGACAATGAACCATTCTTGGCTCTTGGGAGACTTCCGCAGCGAGAAGAAGTCACAGATTCAGGACACAGATTGACTGGAGAACCAGCTCTGAGGAGGTCTCCCCGCCCCTCTGGCCCGGGACCCCCCACCCCCACCCCAACCCCGGCCGCCTGCTTGGGCAGTGCCGCCCCCGGGTCGGGGCCGTGAATCACCCGCGGGTGGTGCCGCCGGCCTGGAGCCCGGCAAGTGGCCGCGGCGTCCGCAGAGCGAAACCTGCCCCGCTGCCCCGAAATAGCTTGTTGTGGAAACACTTCGGGATAAATACGCCCAACAAGGCTGAAAATACCTTGACACCCAATCCGAGAGGTTTGCTCATTTCCCTTCGGATTTAGGTAATGGTTAAATTTGGAAGAGGTGGGCGAGCGCCGAGCCCCCGGAGGAGAGGGCGCTGGCGGCGCGTCCCGCGGGCGCCCGGCTAGGTTGGCGGGCGCGCCCTCCCCACGCGGTGTTCACCCGCGCTCTGCCGCGTCCCCTCCGCCCGCGGCTAATTTCCGGTGGTCGGAGCTGCGAAATTAAAGACTGCGGCGGACGGAGAGAGCGGGGGCAGCAACGCAGGCAGCGATGGCCGAGGCTCGGCTGACCCCGCCCTGCCAGGGCCAGCCCGGGAGAGCGGTACCTCGGGCACCTGGTCCCGAGAGCAGCGATACGGCGCCATAAAGGCACCACCCTGATGACTCTTGAAGAGCAAATCTTCGCTCAGGCTGTGTGTTCCTTGAGGGTAGGCATGGATCTTCTCTATTATTTCCCTGGTACGCTCTTAAGAAACGTCTGTGGACTGAATAAATGAATGAATGCAGTTAGTTCTATTAATAGAACAGGTGAAAATATGTAAACCTCACCCCTAAATAAACAAATGCAGCAACTTCCAACGCTAGGAAGTCTGCCATGATCCAAAAAGGGTGGCCTGCTGTGTATACGTAAACCTGAACCCTTTCCTGACGGGGGTGAATATCGTTGTAATTACGTTACTTACCTAAGTGAATTGAGTTAGCTTTTGGTCACTACGTGCACAGTAAGTCTCCAATGTCAGATCCCGGGAGAAGGGAGTGTTGCTCCTCAGTTCTTGCAAAACAACGTACCATATTTTAGATTAACCCAAAGTTGTCACGGAAAAATAAGATCCTTATAGCCATTTCGCTAGAGAGAAATGTTTTTTAGAATGATTTTTAATTTGTCTTGTAAACCGGAAGATTTACAGAAAATATTTGGTTACCATGGCAGTAGTCCAAGCACGTTTTAATAGATTAGACATTTTATAAAGCAATGGTCCCACACCTACTGTGCGCCAGGCGCTGGATTAGACACATCTTAATAGTCTGCTTAGCTATTTTCCTTACAGGACTGTTCGTTTGTTCAATACCCCTTTCCTTATAAATTGGTTAGCACCCAGAGGTAAACAATCTTAACCATAAGAATTAAAAATACTGAATAAACTGAAGGGAAATTAAGGCATTTTGTACATAAACTTAATTCTTACATGTTTTGTCCTGGTATAAAGTATAAAAATCTCAAAGCAGTCCAAAACAGATCTTTCCCTTATTCCTTCTATCTTACGCAACAGTAGAAAAAGGCAAAATTTCAAAAAAAATTATAAATGGAACAAAAGAAAATGTATTATCAACCAAGTTCTAGAGAAAAGGTTGAACCATTTCCTTTGCACATGAGCAAGTTCAAATTTCTTGAAAAGGCACTGTGACTAGTAGTTTAGTTGAGTGTTGCTATTTGAAGTCTCAGAAAACTTGAGGGAGGCTATGAAGGGAACAAATAATCACCTAAAGTGACACCTATAGTGTCACTTTAGAATAAATCCCTTTCATTCAGATTAAATCTAGTCATCTTGCTTAGTTTGCCATTCACATCCTCTGAATTTGCAAAATAAAACTGAGGACTGGAACAGGGACACCAAGAGAAAAGCAGGCGGGAGTGAGATGGCACAGAATTTCTCTTTCTGCTCTTTTTAAGTTTTGAACCATATGGATGGATGTATTAGTGATTCAAATAAATACACATAAAAATATCTGACTAGAGAGATCAGGTCATTCCCCAGGTATATGGTCCTGACTGCCACACTTAGGGGGAACAGAGGAGAAAAGTAAGAAGAAGCATACCCAGAAAGGTTAAGAAACATGCCAAGGAGTGCTAGCTAACAGCTAGCACTGGAAATGATGATACAATGAACTTGACTTCCCGCTACTTCAAACTACCTCTCATTTACCACTAAATGGAGAATGAAGACAGTTAAGTCACCCCTGCCCCCAGAGTACACATTTTCAAAAGCTAGAAAGAATCCCTCGCCAAGTGTGCTCCTTTGGAACTGAAATAGATGGTAAGCAGAATTAGGCTTGGAGCATAGTTTTTCTATACATACTGGTTTTCCAAAAAGAGGGTGTAAAATTTACTATTTTTGTCAGTAATTTGATTTTATTAAATAATAACATCTGTAGACGACAAAAACCAAATGATG